TTAAAAAATACAAATAATTTAACGAGAACAAGTTTTTATTTTTTTTATTTACATCATATTGTAATTTGTAATACTTTTTATAAAGTATAAAATATTTATATAATGAAAACGAAATATTTTTTGAAATACATTTAAAAAATATTATTTTTGATTTCTTTTTAAAGTTAATAAAATATAAACCCTCCTCCTTTATCCGGGCTTGGGACCGGCTACATTAATTTTAAGTTGGTGGAGTTAAAAATTGTACACGAATAATTTGTTGTAACGTGTACAATTTTTTAAAGAAAATTAAATTTAACGATTAAAAAATAAATAAAAAATTTGATTAATATAATTAAATCAAATATCACTTACTTGACGATATGCAATTTCAGCGTATTTATCTTATAGTCGAAAATGAGCGTCCTGTCAATCCTTTACGCACATTAACGCTTCCAAAATATCTTTTTTCAGTCGGCTCCTGATATCAGTCAAAACCATTTTACCTGCACTAAAAGCAAACTCCGAAACAACAGTGCTAACCGAAGATGTCAATAGATCTTTCGTAATTGCAGAAACAATTGGCCAACGTCTTTCATACTTTCGCCAGAATTCAATTACTTCTTCTGAAGTTTTTTTAATTGTTCTGTCTGTTGGCATATTATGATTGAAATAATCAATTAATTCAGTAGGCATCGCATTTTGAGTTTCGGTCGATATTTAATGAGATGCAGATGTAGACGACATGGCACTAGATGTATACATTGCAGTTGCATCATATCTAAATGTATTAATGCCCTGAAATAAATTCATTATTTCCGCAGCATCTTCTTCACTTTCAGCAGAAGGAGTAGGTGCAGTAGAGGGTACCCGACTAACATTTGCACCCATTCTTTCCGCATATAAATCATACATTCCACATAATGTTTGCTCTAAATTCTTATAGGTAATAGGTGTATCAAGTATTAAAACTTTATTGATTTGATCGATTACGTATTTATTTCCCTAAATATTATATCGGGGGTCCATTGCGCATGCTAAAGGAAATAACATAGGCAGTTCTTCCCAATATTTTCTAAACTTTAATTCCATAGCAATTAAAATTTCACTAAAAGCAGGATCATTTTTATATTTATGGAATGTTATTGCAATTATATAAAGGCGTTCAAGCACCATACAACTTGTGGGATAATAAATGCCGGATAAAATCTTTGTAGTCTCATAAAAAAATGTCAAAAATCGTTTAACTTTCAAAGCTAAAATCCAATCGGATTCATTTAACATACCATCATCATCACTTCTAACATGTCTATTTTATAAAAGTCAGTTATTAAATTTTCAAAACCTTCACATGATTTTAATAGCAAATATGTAGAGTTCCATCTATGACCTACGTCGCTAACAAATGTTTTAGCAGTCATCACCCCTAGTTTGGCACAAAAATCTTCAAATGCTTATTTTCTACTAGGAGAGATCGTAATATAAACTAATGCATTCCTAATCTTTTGAAGTTCATCCTTTATATGTTTTAAACCATCTTGCACAATTAAATTCAAGATATGACACACACAACGAATATGAAACAAATACCCACCAAAATCAGGTTGAAGTGCCCTACACAATTTATCGACGACTACCTTATTAACGCTAGTATTATCAAAAGTAAAAGATCAAATTTTACCCTCACAATGATATTCTCTAACAATACTGATAATAAAATTATATATATTATTAGTATTGTGAGGAAATTCAATAATTCTAAAAGCAATAATTTTCTTATGCATGCACCAAAGTGGGTCTATATAGTGTGCGGTTGCAGCTATATATGCTCTTTTATTAACCTCTTCCCATATATCAGAAGTTAAGAATATAACACCCCCATATTATTGCAAATCCATAATTAATTGTTGTTTTGAATTATTGAAATAATTTATTGTATCGGCACGAAAAGTGTTTCGACTTACCCCAACGTACCTCGGTTGTAGATATTCTTTCACGAACGAGACGAAGTGTTGGTTGTCTATAATAGCCAGAGGCAACTCAGTGGCGGCAACAAATTTCACCATTCCAGTTCGAGTCTCATCCTCCGAATACACCCACGTGGATAGGGGTGAAGTTGTAGAACCGACGCCTGGATTGTCAAATTGTAATTGTGTTTGACCAGCCGGAAGAAGTCCATGTCTGGCTGCACATGATTTGTAGTGGCGATTGAGATGAGTGGTACCAATTCCTTTTTGTCATGCCAATCTTTGTTGGCAGTATTTACAAACTGCTTTAGATTCTGTAAGGCCATCAACGACTTTTCCCGTTGAAATCAACTTAAAGTGATCCCAACATTTTGCTTATTTTTTGACCTTTCGCTTTCCCCTCGCATCTGGGATATTTAATTGCTGATCTTCATCTTCATGTTCTGTTTCGGGAACGTTAATATCATCCAAATCAATTAGAATGTGGTTTCCCTGACCGTGAATGTGAAATCTTCAGGTATCGGTATGTCATTTAGACCGACAAATTCATTTGGAAATTGATTTTGCGGCGTACTAGGCAATTCTCCATGATGTGGCAATGGCTCACATCCTGTATCGAACAAGCTCTTAACAAATGAACGTTGATCCATTTCTGTGATTGTTTATGATGAAATCTTGACTAGATGAATATAAATGTAGTGAGATTGTGAGAATTGAGAATTGGATGAAATGAAATTGTAACTAATAAACTGAAAAAATTGAATTGATATTGTATATTTTGCAGTACAAGAGAGTAAAAATTCGATAATTGATATAATAAAAGATAGTTGAGACTTGAGAGAGTTGTAATCTTGGAAGAGATTGATATGAAAAAAAAATTTTGGGGGAAGGGGGTATTTATAGTAAAAAAATGAGGGGGAAAAAAAAGTTCAGTGACCAGACTGAACTTTTGTTCAGTGAAAAGTTCAATGACCAGAACGGTCACTGAACAAGCTAGGCTAGACGAGCTACGAGCGGCTCGTCTACACGGCGAGCCGAGCGGGCCTCGAGCTCGTGATTTCATGAGCCCGAGCCGCCCACAAGCTCATTTTTCACGAGCCGAGCCAGCTCGGCCCAATTAACATCCCTATCCATACTTGACAGTTTATTATTCATCAATGTTGAAATTTTTTCAAAAAATAGAGTTGCAAGTAGAGATGTCATTTGGGCCGAGTCAGCTCGTCTCGTTGAAAAGAGGCTCGTGGGCGGCTCACGAACTGAGCGGGCCTCGCCGGGGCTCAACTCGCCATTTAGACGAGCCACGAGCCCTCGTTAAAAATAACGAACCACGAGTCGGGTTCGTGGCTCGTCAAGCCCGTGACCGTTTGGTCACTGAATTTTAATTTTTTTTTTATTCCCCCCTCCCCCCCTTTTTTTACTATAAATACCCCCTAACCCCAAAGATTTTTTTCATATCAATTGCTCTTTCAAGATTACAACCCTCTCAACTCTCTTTTATTTTATCAATTATCGAGTTTTTACTCTCTTATGCTACAAAATATAAAATATCAATTCAATTTTTACAATTTATTAGTTACAATTTCAATTCTTCCAATTTTCAATTCTCACAATCTCACTACATTTATATTCATCTAGTCAAGATTTCATCATAAACAATCACAGAAATGGATCAACGTTCATTTGTTAAAAACTTATTCGATACAGGATGTGAGCCACTGCTACATCATGGAGAATCGCCTAGGAAGTCGCAAAGTCAATTTCCAAATGAATTTGCCGGTCTAAATGACATACCGATACCTGAAGATGTTCACATTCACGGTCAGGGAAGCCACACTCCAATTGATTTGGATGATATTCACGTTCCCGAAGCGGAACATGAAGATGAAGATCAGCAATTTATCCCAGAGCGAGGGGAAAGCGAAAGGCCAAAAAATAAGCAAAATGTTGGGATCACTTTAAGTTGATTTCAATGGGAAAAGTCGTTAATGGCCTTGCAAAATCTAAAGCAGTATGTAAATACTACCAACAAAGATTGGCATAGCAAAAAGGAATTGGTACCATTCATCTCAATCACCACTATAAATCATGTGCAGCCAGACATGGATTTCTTCCAGCTGGTCAAACACAATTACAATTTGGCAGTCCAGGCGCCGGTTCTACAACTTCACCCCTATCCACGTGGGTGTATTCGGAGGACGAGACTCGAACCGAAATGGTGAAATTTGTTACCGCCACTGAGTTGCCTCTGGCTATTGCAGACAACCAACACTTCGTCTCGTTTATGAAAGAATATCTACAACCGAGGTACGTTGGAGTAAGTCGAAACACTCTTCGTGCCGATACAATAAATTATTTCAATAATTCAAAACAACAATTAATTATGGATTTTCAACAATATAGGGGTGTTATATCCTTAACTTCTGATATATGGGAAGGGGTTAATAAAAGAGCATATATAGCTGCAACCGCACACTATATAGATCCACTTTAGTGCATACATAAGAAAATTATTGCTTTTAG